CAGCCTGACATAGACAGGGCATTGCTGGTCCTGGGGCAGCTGGGTGCATTACTGCAGCCTGACACAGGCAGAGCATTGCTGGTCCCAGGGCAGCTAGGCGCATTGCTGCAGGCCTGACACAGGCAGAGCATTGCTGGTCCCGGGGCAGCTGGGCGCATTGCTGCAGCCTGACACAGGCAGGGCATGCTGGTCCCGGGGCAGCTGGGCGCATTGCTGCAGCCTGACACAGGCAGGGCATGGTGGTCACGGGGCAGCTGGGCGCATTGCTGCAGCCTGACACAGGCAGGGCACGGTGGTCCCGGGGCAGCTGGGCGCATTACTGCAGGCCTGACATAGGCAGGGCATGCTGGTCCCGGGGCAGCTGGGTGCATTACTGCAGCCTGACACAGGCAGGGCACGGTGGTCCCGGGGCAGCTGGGCGCATTGCTGCAGCCTGACACAGACAGGGCATTGCTGGTCCCGGGGCAGCTGGGCACATTGCTGCAGCCTGACATAGACAGGGCATGCTGGTCCCGGGGCAGCTGGGCACATTACTGCAGCCTGACATAGATAGGGCATTGCTGGTCCTGGGGCAGCTGGGCGCATTGCTGCAGGCCTGACACAGGCAGAGCATTGCTGGTCCTGGGGCAGCTAGGCGCATTACTGCAGGCCTGACACAGGCAGAGCATTGCTGGTCCCAGGGCAGCTAGGCGCATTACTGCAGGCCTGACACAGGCAGAGCATTGCTGGTCCTGGGGCAGCTGGGCGCATTGCTGCAGCCTGACACAGGCAGAGCATTGCTGGTCCTGGGGCAGCTAGGCGCATTGCTGCAGCCTGACACAGGCAGGGCATGGTGGTCCCGGGGCAGCTACGCGCATTACTTCAGCCTGACACAGGCAGGGCACGGTGGTCCAGGGGCAGCTGGGCGCATTACTTCAGCCTGACACAGGCAGGGCATGCTGGTCCCAGGGCAGCTGGGCACATTGCTGCAGGCCTGACACAGGCAGGGCATGGTGGTCCCAGGGCAGCTAGG